CATGATAACATGAGTTTATTTACTCTTTTATTTAATAATCAGAATAATTATCATTTTTATCTCTTTTTGCCTTCTTTTCTAGATATATATATAGTCCTGAAGAGTACTATCTTGTAAAAGATACGAAACGCGTCGGTGAACAAATTCTGCATTTTTCCATATATTTACAAAGCACATTACTTCAAGATTTTCATTCATTCATTCAGACAAAAGAACAACATCGATTGCTGAAAAGCAAGAGTTGGACATAAGCAGATTACACTTGTCTTTTCGTCAAGAGATACGTTTGATCTGTTCTCAGCTGGTTTACACCCACACCCACACCCACACCCATACCCACACATCCTCACCCACACCCTCATCCGTCACCCATACCCTCACCCGAAACCCATCAAAAAGATTTCGTAGATGTCGACGGCTGTATTTTTTCCAAGGAAAACGGCGGCGACGGTGGCTCAGCCGATTGGGCTTACACTTCTATTCGCCACCCACCCAATACATCTGCTCATATGCTTACCCACACCCTCATCCTCACTGTCCTGTATTCTAATTAATATTTAATCAAATGTAGAGAGCGAAAAATAATTCATGAAAATTTCCAGGATATTGGTGAACATAATTTATTTTTAACTTCTGTTATCCTCGTCAGCACTCTAAATCAACTATATAAACGACGAAATTTAGTGCGGTTATGTGATACAGGTCCTTGCTTAATTTTCACAATTTGACAAGGATCTTGTTTATTGGAAGGCATAGATTGAATCACGAATGTTGCACCTCTAGCGATTAAAAATTCGTATTCTGTTTGATACTTCGAAATCCATGATACATCAGCACCGACAAGTGCATCCATGTGTTCCTCTTCCAAACTGATCTCTAACAAAGAACCTTTTTTGTTCATAAACTCAAGTGCAACTTCTTTGTTCCACGAAGTACTAATAAATGTTCCATATCTAAACACTGGTCCAGTGGTTGCAGAGTTTCGTTTAGTTGCATTGTGATTATTAAATACCAATGGATCAACTTCGATACCACATAGTCCATGGTAAACGACCTTTGGACGAGGCCGTTTATCATGTTGATCAAGAACCCAAATGGCTGAATTCAATAGACAACCCAAGATTGGCCACTTTTTCTGCATTAGATCACATGGTTTCGTGTTTGCAAAATCTTGTTGTGAATAGCACATTTCATGGTGTCGTAAATCTTTGTACACATCTGAATCTGTATATAAAATAATTGCTAGCATTTGATCATGAGATAAAGGCGATCCCATTTCCTTATGTCTTGGATCATTTAATTTTTTTTGTGCTACATGATCTAAAGTCTTGGAAGGTTTACTCGAGACAACCATAACGGCACCAAAACCATTCTGTTCCAATTCTCGTATAAGATCACCCTCTTTAACTACACCATTCCATAGACCAACTCCTTTTGGCAAATCAACACCCCAATTTTGATAAGCCGTAATGAATTTTTTTGATCCGAAATTTTCAGCAATGGTAGTTCCACCTCTTCGTCCTGGATGAAAATATTTCGAGCAATGATCAATATCATTTTTGTCATATCCTTTATCTGACAAGCGTTGAAATATGGCACATCGGTTTCCGTGAGGACAATTGTTTTCTACATCATAATTTGTGCTTGAATTGTTAACAGCAATATTATCATCTATCGCTGTGGATCTAGATCGCAAATCAGTTTTATTTGATGGATAGGATGATGATGAAGAGCTGCCCATTGTGTTTGTGCTATCTTCAAAGATTTTATCTACAACAATCACATGCAAATTTTGATCGTTTCGTTATATCTCACCTTATCAATTGAAACAAACGAATTAGGATTGATGTGTCTTGTAACTAGAGGTGTAAGCCGACCCCTCGATCGGCGGCGGCGGCGGCTCGAAATTTAAAAATTTTTTTCGGTCCTTCGGCGACGGCGATTCGGAAACGTCGGGCTTCCAGCGGCGGCGGCTGGAATTTTTCAGTTATTTTTTTAAAAATTTCTCGAGTTTTGTAAAATTTTCAAGCTAAAAACGCAAAAAACCCTGATACGAAGCGTAATAACAAAAAAATAGGTTTGAACAAATCTAAAATGTGGTTCAGAACATTAAAAATGTTGAAAGTCGGGTATTTTTATTTGTGTCACGGCGGCGGCGGCGGCGGCGGCTCAGCCGCACGGCTTACATCTCTACTTGTAACAGTAGATCTTTTTACGCGTAAGAATCGCACATTTCTACGTGTACAAATGTTTTTCTAATTTGAAGAAGAACAAATGAAACAGCATTCGCTGTCAACAAACCGGCTTTTTCTTTAGCAAAATTATTATTTTTTAACATGCAGAAATGTGCACTTTTGACGCGTAAAAATGTCGTTTTTTGTTGTTGTTTGTCTGTCTGACTAAGAAAAGATTTATTTTTCTTCAACAAAAGAGAAGGAGAAACTAATGCTGGGTAATACTAAAAAATAGGTTTTGTTCTAGCTACATTCACAAAAATTCAATTGATGAACGAAAAAGAGTCTAAATAATACCATTAAAACTTATATGCATAGACACCGAGTATCACTAAATTCGGTATCTAGACCATACTTTTTCACTTTACGATCACATGATTCGTCAATAACTATAACCCATTCAAGAATTTGATCTGCACTTTTTATACAAAATTCATCTAGTGCAGGATTTGGATGCTTACAATAAACTGTATCATACTCTTGATGCCAACTATCTGTATCCTGTACTCTGGATACATCTGATCTTTCAACAAGTAGTACTTTACCCATTCGTATTGTTGCACAAATAATTGCACCATCCTGTCTTGCTTTTCCTTTAGTGTCCTCGATAGAACGTGCAAAATAAATTCCAAAACCAAGCATTTGAGGTTCTTTTCGACTAAGTGGCATCTCACTATGAGCAATTTTGATGGCTTTCTCAGCACCCCTACGATGGAAACCAACATAAAACTGTGTCTGATTACTAATATCAAACCAACGTTGTTGTGGACGATGATCACTATAATGATAGATCAAAATATGTTCCAATTTACGATTGTCACAGGGTTCATGTGTACATGGTTCATTGCCCAGTGTCATAGGATCACGATTATCACCTAAAATATGATAGGGCAAAAATCGTCGATGTTTTGATGAATATTTAGTGTGACGAGTATCTTTTTCAGGACGATAATGCCACCACATACGATAATGATAATAATCATATGCTAGTGAAATCAGTAGGAATACAATTGATATACTACACACTATCACTAACAGTGTTCGACCTCCTACTGAGTAAAGAATTGAAGAGATTATTCGGAATAATACACATAATATCAGTAATATGACCCGATTGATGAATCTAAATTTTGGTCGTGTACGATAGCATGGACAGTTACAACGCATCGTTAACATCCGACGAATGGGCGCAGCGCCAATTTTCGCATAAAACTCTCCAGTTTGTAATCTTGATGTTCCATAGTTTTGACAACAATTGCCGAGCATTAATAAAAACATGACGATCATAGCTGATGCAGGAATAATACAACTAATACAATCCAGAATAAAACCGGTATAAATCAAATTATCTTTGTCTCCGAATACAGAAGATGATTCCATCCAACCTGAAATATCCGCTTTCGCGACATAACAATAAATGCGGATGAGAGCAGCAATTATATCAAGACATCCAGTTGATACTAGAAACCGCAGTTGATGCACATACAAATACCAGCACATTTTTTCGTAGTTAAACTCAACAGAGTAACGCACACTTTCGATTCCTTTTAAATCATTTGTATTGAAAGCAAATATGCCTTCTAGGCCAGACACTATATGAATCATTTTTCAGTCTTTAGTTTCAACTGTTATTGTTCGAACAAAATCATGCACATCAATAAAATCATTTCTGTCATTCTGAGTAAAATACGTAAAAAGTACATTCGAGCAATAAGTAATGCGTCTGAAGAGCACCAAATTTTCTCTGATTTCGCGAAAGTAATCAGTCTCTCTGACAAAGTTGAATATTAACGAGGGAACCTCACCAAGTGGGCGCTAGGACAATTCGTCGGACATGAGGGGTGGGTGAGGGTGGGGGTGTGAGATGAGCTGCCATGACCGGTTTCGTCTTTTGCTCACAAAGACTCATCAGATGGCTTATGATTTCGTATGATTTAACTCAAAATAAACATTTTCAAAGCTGAAAAACCCATTTCAAGCCAAATCATAACAAAATGCTACTATTCTGTTACAGAGTCAACAAAAATGAAACATTTTCATCAATTGGATTCGAAAAAGTGGGAACGTTTTTCAGGCTTACCTTAGGTTTGTGGATATCTTGGCTGTTGGTGTGGTGGAAATCACAATATATGACTGTAGATGCTTGGAGTTTTTTTCTTCTGAATTGTGAATTAGTGGTTATTGGTTTTATTTTCCATTATGGTCTATTTCGGCTGCAAGTGAAGACTGTTAGTTTTCCAACTGGTAGGGCTTCTAGATGAAAACCAATTTCCACGTGTTAATGATAATTGATTGATTTGTAATCGATGTGAAATATCTTTCGCTGGTATTCTTGTATAATTTAACATAATTGTTTGATATCCGAATTTGTTGTTTGAGGCTTGTAGATCATTTGAAATAGTGTTAATGTGTAGTTTAGAAGAAGTGTAGAACTTACTTTTAGAGCACATGAAAATGAATATTGTAATGAACATGGTGCTGGTTTATATAGTCGTTGAAAGAAAATGAACTTTGGCCTTTTCTGGGAAAGAATGTAGGTGGGAAAGCATTCTTCCCACTGATTTACATGATAAAATGCTTGAAAAGTGGTATTTTAGCCCGACGCATATATGAATTATTCATTTTATCTACATGTAAAGATGCATGAGAATGAGAAAAGCATTTTTCAACGGGGTTCTTCGAAACTATGTTCTTGCAACGTGCCGTTATTCAATTAGAGATGAAACTATTCGTTCTCAAAGAAGGAATGCCAAGGCCGACCAAAGTTCAGTAGAAAGAGCTATTATATAAGTCATGAGAAAAAAGTAATCACTCTTCATTCTTTTTCATAGTTGACTATATGCCAGTTGAGCTATTTTCGTTTTTAATTTTGTCTCCTATATGGCCGTGCAAGCATCGAATATAATGATGCTGGATTGGTAAGTGTAATCTTAAATCTACAATTAATTTTGTGAAGTCATCCCATGACTGTATTCTTTTCATTTCTTAAGTTCAAATTTATAAAGGTGCATAGATTTTAATTTGTATATCAAGTTATATGGAGAAAAGCGATAAAATATTCAGTTTCACAGTTAAGGAAATACCGTAAATCTTTTTTAATCTTGGCATATGAACAAAAGTAATGATTAAAGAATTAGAAGAAATAAATGACAATCGTTGCTCATTTCTGATGAAAAATATATGAGCTAGAAATTTATCTTTTATCGCTTATTAGAAATAGCTATTAATGTGACATCAATCATTTTGTCAAGAAATGATAATGTAACTAAGATGTTCAATAGCATTGGATACTACCTTTTGTCATTCTAGTGCTAATTTTACAAGTACTATATAATACACAGTTGTAAATAAGGATATGTAATGTTTTCAAAGTATACAATTCAATATAAAACATTTTTACATCTCATCTATTTGGTTCAATAACATAAGTTTTGAAATGATGTGTCAATGTATTAATAATTAAGGATAATTTCTTCGTTACAAGTGAATATTCATCATTTTAGCCATATTTTAGATCAAATTTCATTTTGAAACATGTAGTTGCTCTTGTTTCAAATATTTTTTCAATTTTTTTAGACTTTGTACAACAATAATTTGCATCTGGTACATGTATAACAAATCAAATACTTCTCAGAGAACAACAAAGCAAGTATATTGATAAGAAGAATGAATAATTCTTGAAATTAAAGAAAAGACAAATAGAAACTCAGTTTTATCAGAAAATCATCGATTAGCTGCTTGATAAATCAAAGATATCTTAATTAAATAGAATTGAACTAGATATGTATACGAAGAAATAATCTTGTAAAGAAAAACATTTATTGTTTTAAAATGTAACAGTCAGATATGTTCTGCTTGTACAAGACAACATGAAGGAAATAAGCTGTGTTAATGAAGAGTGTCAGTTTGTATTGATATACTACTCGTCTTAGTTAAATTATTTAGCGGAATATTCGTTGCTGATATATTAGACTCATTGCTATCACCGTCTTCCCCTTCATCGTCATCGTCGTCGTCGTCGTCATCTTCACTATCAGGGTCATTGTCCACTTTTTTCAAGATAAACAAGACTTTCTTTTACTTCTTCAGGCACTTCCCATCCGTTGTCTTGATCATCCTCTTTAAATGCTTTAGTCAATCAATCCATTAAGCTATGCTGAATTAGTAGTTGAATATCACTTAGACGAGGAAAAATGTTATGCTTGATTAGAATATATCATTGATAGCGTACTTAAGCGCGATTAGTTTGAATTTCAGCAGGTGATATCATCGATATCGTTGATGGTAATTCAAGAGTATCTGTTTGAGCAGTGAATGAAGTCATAATAGAAATTATTGAATTCGTTGAGAAAAGTTTTCAGCGCAATCCCTAACAGGATAAAGATGTGAAACACAATGAAACTAGCGATATTGCTTTCGTAATATCGTTCTGAAAAAGCAGAAATTGGTTGGACGATATACAGTTGTCAAAATTATGTACACAAACCGAGCAGAGAAGTCTTGTGAAATGGTGTTTTGGGGAAAGTGTGAAAGTAGGGGTGAAAGAAAATGAACTGGATTGTTAAATCGAGCTCTGGTTGTTAATGGCATCTTGATAAAGCTATATTCATATCTAGAGCTTTCTAAGAAATATTTGACTTGCCAAATTCATATCGAGCCAGAGGGCGTTTTTTCACTCCATCCACACCATACATGTGATGAATTATTGGAAAGATAAATGGTAGTTAGAAAGGTGGAAGAGAGGACAAGTGTGAGCTTTATTTATTAAGTCTTTTTGTGAAAATATACAATGCAAAATAAAGTCTATACGTAGAATAATTTTTAGTGAAAAAATTACTGATGTGCGAGCATAAAAAAAGCGAGCCGGATATCCAAGAAAGTATTTGTGATCGATCATAATATCGAAGGAGGTGTTGAAACTTTCTGTTTGTTTGCGACTAGAAGAAAACCAGTCAAGGTTTCAATTGAAACTTTTTTTGAATGCGAAAGTGTACGAAAGAATTTTAGATGGAATAGTGATAGATTAACATCGCCAGAGAAGTTTCCGAAAGATTGAAACAAAACCATCGTGGAACTACGAATGACGAACAACTGTAAATTGTCACTTCTATCAATTACGATAACAATAAAAAGCAATGTAAAGTATGTATAATTGAATTGTGTTCTGCATGATGCTGATTCTCACGATAAAAAAGGGTATGAAAATTTGTATATAGATTTTGTTTAGTCTACAATTGGGTTAATATAATTATAAAGAAGTAGATAATAGCGGCAATATTTTTGCTTGTATTATGACCGGGGAAGCTTAGAAAAGAATATATGAAATAGACTTCATATGCAGATCTGGTCATGGCAGACAGTAAAAAGAAGTGATAATTCTGTAGAATAAATCAGCTAGAACCAAATCTTGTCGTGTAATCGAGAAAGTTAGGTAACTTATATAATACTTGGATTGCTATTTTACCGCGCTACAATCTCTGAAATAGCCTGATATTTTCATTCAATTTAATGAATTCAAGTAATGAGAGGCTCTCATGTGCACTCAGTGCGAAAAGAAACCAGCGTTTAATTTCTTGCCAGATTCTAATAAACAACCGAAAATCATGGAGGTAGGTGATACTGTGAAATCTTCATTGCAATATGAACAACTTCCAAATTTGCCAACACCAATTACATCAATACCGTTGAAACCGAAGCCGACTCAAACATCAAGAAAACGAGTGGTTCGATTTAATCTTCCCGAAGCAAACACATCGCCTTCACCATCGACTATTTCATCATTATCGAAGCACATCATGAAAATGAGAATTCCCAAGGAAGCAGACGAATAGTCGCTCGGATAATTAGTAGATCGAACTCTAGATTCTATGCACATTCACATTTTGTTCATTAAACTTTGTTTTGTTGTGCTTAACATCTTGAGGGTGTTGATGGAGTCTTATACGAGGAAATCAAGAAAAATCTGTTACCGTAGTCTTTATTCAGTGTTGCCGCACTCTCTGATATTCTTTGGTCGATATATATTCATGTTGTATGTTCTAGATTAAATTGTATAGTTCGTGATACTCTCTTCGATGGCTGACCACAGCGATGTTAACGACAGGAATAGCTGGTCATATCCAGCTTTACAATCACAACTATCTGAACAACCGAGGACATTTGTCTATCAAACACAACCATTTACGATAAGCGAACAATTGGCAGAGAAAAAGAAGAAAGAAAAGAAATGTCATAGTAATCGAAAGCTGCAACACTTCAAGCGCAAGTGTCGAGCCCGTGGTTTAACTGAAGAGCAAATTCAGGATTTAATTCAAACGAAACATCACACAATATCCGAACCATCTATAAGTGTTCAACTAGCTACGAGCCGTCCTAAACAGTCGAATAAACGGAAGAGAGACTTATCTAAACAAAATCGTGTGTACAGTTCAATGAAATCACTCAGTCAATTATCATTATCAAAGAGGAAGAAGGCGAGATATAATAGTAGGTCGTTAAGCAGTAAAGACAACACCAGTAGTTCAAATAACCATACTTGTACTGTATACAAACAATCAAAATATTTGAGGATGCCACGAAAGCTACTTCTACATTCATTACGTCTGCAGTTGAAGCATCCACTGAAACGGGAAAAAGAACGACACTTCATTGTAGAACGTCTTCAACTACTTGATCAACAGTTCTATCTCGACCATATTCGATGCCTCTATCAAACTTATTTTGATCAAGGTCTTAAATTTCATATGTGGCCTGTAAGTGTTGATGATACTGTTTCATTATTATTACCAATTCGCATCTCTTTCATAGGATGATATCCTTAAGATTGCGCAAACAACAGAACGCAGTGTCATCCAAAAGTATCTCGAAGAGTACTTGATATTATTACGAGACAAAATCAATCATCATCGTGTCCACTGACTTTATCTTTACTGGAGATTGTCGATGCACGACTGCATGAATTTGTTCGTCTGCATCATATTGACTTAATGAGGACGATTCGTTTTCGAATCAATAAACTCAAAGATGAAATTCATGAAAAACAACTCTTTCAACACTTATCTTACTATTATTTAAATAATGATCAAGTAATTTTCATCCCGTAACCTCTGTTTATCATAGATTGGATGTTCCTAGTTTAAAGCAATTTCTCGTTTGACCACTATTCGCAAGAAACAATTGAAAGTATTCGAAGAACAAACCATGCTTGAGCAACAAATCTTATGCCATCGGCTACNTGAGGGTGTGGGTGAGGGTGTGGTGAGGGTGTAGAGGGTGAGTAGAGCTGCCATGACTAGTTTCATCTTCCGCTCAAGAAGACTCATCAGATGGCTTATGATTTTGTATGATTTAACTCAAAATAAACATTTTCAAAAGAAAAAAGCTTATTTCAAGTAAAATCACAGCAAAATTCTATTATTCTGTTACAAAATCAACAAAAATGAATATTTTCATCAATTGTATTCGAAAAATTGGGAATGTTTTTCAGGCTTACCTTAGGTTTGTGGAGTTCTTGGCTGTTGATTAGGTGGAGATCACAATATATGAGTGTAGATGCTTGGAATTTTTTTTCTGCTGAGGTATGAATTAGTGGTTACCGGTTTTATTTTCCATTGTGGTCTATTCCGGCTGCAAGTGAAAACTGTTGTTTTTCCAGGTGGAAGGGCTTATGGATGAAAACCAATTGGCAGGAGTTAATGATAATTGATCGATTTGAAATCGATTTGAAATATTTTTCGATTGTATTTTTGCATAATTTAAGATAATTGTTTGATATCCGAATTTGTTGTTTGAGGCCTCTAGATCATTTGAAATAGTGTTAATCTGTAGTTTAGAAGAAGACGTATGGAACTTACTTTTGGAGCAGATGAAAAATGAATATTGTAATGAAAATGGTGCTGATTTATATAGTCGTTGAGAGAAACTGAACTTTGGCCTTTTCTGGGAAGGAATGTAGATGGGAAAGCTTTCTTCCCACTGATTACATGAGAGAATGTTTGAAAATTGGTATTTTAGACCGACGCATATATGAATTATTAATTTTATCTAGATGTAAGGATGCATGAGAATGAGAAAAGAATTTTTAAAGGGGGTGCTTCGAAACTATGTCCTTGCAACGTGTCGTTATTCAATATGAGATGAAACTATTCGCTCTCAAAGAAGGAATGCCAAGGCCGACCAAAGTTCAGTAGAAACAGCTATTATATAAGTCATGAGAAAAAAGTAATCACTCTTCATTCTTTTTCATAGTTGACTATATGTCAGTTGAATTACTTTCGCTTTTGATTTTGTCTCTTATATCGCCGTGCAAGCATCGAATATAGTGGTGATAAATTGGTAAGTGTAATCTTAAATCTTCAATTAATTTTACGAAGTCATTCCTTGACTATCTTTTTCATTTTCTAAATTCAAATTTATAAAAATGCATAGATTTTAATTTGTATATTAGGTTATATACGGAAAGACGATAAAATATCTATTTTCAAAGTTAAGGAAATACCTTAAATCTTTTTTAATCTTGGTATACGAACAAAAGTAATGATTATTGTTGGCAATTTTGATGAAGAATATGTAAGCTAGACATTCACTTTTTAGCGCTTATTAGAAACGGTTATTAATGCGAAAGAAATCAATCATTTTATGAAGAAATGCTAATAAGTACCACTAAGACGTTCAATAGCATTGGATACTACCTTTTGTCATTCTAGTGCTAATTTCACAAGTAATCTGCAATAAATAGTTGTAAATAAGGATATGTAATGTTTTCAAAGTATACAATTCAATATAAAACATTTTTACATCTCATCTATTTGGTTCAATAACAGAAGTTTTGAAATGATGTGTCAATGTATTAATAATTAAGGATAATTTCTTCGTTACAAGTGAATATTCATCATTTTAGCCATACTTTTGATCACATTTCATTTTGAAACATGTAGTTGCTCTTGTTTCAAATATTTTTTCAATTTTTTTAAGACTTTGTACAACAATAATTTGCATCTGGTACATGTATAACAAATCAAATACTTCTCAGAGAACAACAAAGCAAGTATATTGATAAGAAGAATGAATAATTCTTAAAATTAAAGAAAAGACAAATAGAAACTCAGTTTTATCAGAAAATCATCGATTAGCTGCTTGATAAATCAAAGATAGCTTAATTAAATAGAATTGAACTAGATATGTATACGAAGAAATAATCTTGTAAAGAACAACATTTATTGTTTTAAAATGTAACAGTCAGATATGTTCTGCTTGTACAAGACAACATGAAGGAAATAAGCTGTGTTAATGAAGAGTGTCAGTTTGTATTGATATACTACTTGTCTTAGTTAAATTATTTAGCGGAATATTCGTTGCTGATATATTAGACTCATTGCTATCACCGCCTTCCCCTTCATCGTCATCGTCGTCGTCATCTTCACTATCAGGGTCATTGTCCACTTTTTTCAAGATAAACAAGACTTTCTTTTACTTCTTCAGGCACTTCCCATACGTTGTCTTGATCATCCTCTTTAAATGCTTTAGTCAATCTATCCATTAAGCTATGTTGAATTAGTAATTGAATATCACTTAGACGAGGAAAAATGTTATGCTTGATTAGAATATATCGTCGATAGCGTACTTAAGCGCGATTAGTTTGAATTTCAGCAGGTGTTATCATCGATATCGTTGATGGGAATTCAAGAGTATCTGTTTGAGCAGTGAATGAAGTCATAATAGAAATTATTGAATTCGTTGAGAAAAGCTTTCAGCGCAATCCCAAACAGGATAAAAATGTGAAACACAATGAAACTAGCGATATTTCTTTCGTAATATCGTTCTGAAAAGGCAGAAATTGGCTGGACGATATACAGTTGTCAAAATCATGTACGCAAACCGAGCAGAGAAGTCTTGTGAAATGGTGTTTTGGGGAAAATGTGAAAGTAGGGGTGAAAGAAAATGAACTGGANCGGCTACCAGAATCTCTCGACTCCATAGTACCGAATCTTGATGTGAAAAAGCTTTCAAAAAAGCATTGTAAAATGGTACAAGAGCTAAAACGGTTGACATTAAACTTAGAATTACAGCGATATGAAGAGGACATCCATCGTTATGAACAGCTATACCAAGAAGAATTCAAATAAGCTTCGACAACAAATTCTGAATCCAACTTCATGTGACTATAAACATCAAATAGATATCTTAATGTACTCTGTCGAATCCTGTCTAAATAATTATAAGCATAGACTTTTACGTGAAATAAGACACAGAGAAGCATGTTTTCGTACAAATTTGATCCGACAACGTCGTCGCCGTCGACAATCGCTCATGACAAACAACAACATTCAGGTGCATCCACAAATTATTGTCGATGTTCCAAAAGTAGCGTTAAGCGATGCTCAACTACAATTTTTCTCACAAAACGGTATCTACAAATCTATAGTTTATTGTTGGCCCTGTTTTTCTTCTTCTTTGCAAAGGTCCCAGTTACATTCGACCGAACCAAAATTATCTTCACTGTGATCAACAACAACAGAAACAAGTCGATCGAGAATTTAACAGAACTCTTGACGTAATCATTCCTTATTTCATGCGTGTCTACCATATGTCACCAACATCAACAAGCATCAACCGATTCTTCCATAAATTGGCTACTTATCTATGTGAGCAGTACATGGCTCCAATCTCTTATCTTCATGCTCATCGTGCCACGGATAAAAGTGGCATATTCCATATTGGTGACGCCGACGATTATGAACAAAAAGCAGAAGCTTATCGAGAAAAAACGAAGGCGTATATCGAACTAGAAAATGATCTCCTATGTGTAGTTTTTGACAAAGCAGTCAATTTGATAAGATGATACCGAAACGAGAGAACGCTCAACTAGCTTATCTGTATTTTGTTCCAAAACCCCATAAGGTAATTTTTGAAAGTTCTTTCTTTCCTATCAATCTAAACTCCGTTTGTATTCACAGGAAGGAGCACCATTGAGACCGATTGTGTCCTCAATGCATATGCCAACAACTGGCATTTCCAAGTTTCTTGATCGACTCCTTCGACCGTTATTTGATAAACATGTTCGCTCAACTACAATTATCGATGGTGTTGATCTCATTCGACGACTTCAAGCATACGCTGCAAATGGATATTTGAAGCCAACAACCTATTTGTGCACATTTGACATCACAGATTTATATACAATGTTACCACAGGAAGAATCTCTCGACATTCTGACTGAATTTCTTCTAGAACATGGATATACCAAAGTGAATGCAGTGCCCATTGACGCCATTCGGAAATTAGCTCGTCTCGTTCTCACAGAAAATGTATTCTCTTATGAGAAAAGATTCTATCGGCAGGTGGTCGGCGGTGCTATGGGCTCCGCATTTACTTTGACTTTAGCCAATGTTTTCTTGTGGAAATGGGAAAAACGATTAGTTCAACAGCAGCTAAATACAAGCGAAATCTATGGAAGGCATGTTCAGTATCTTAGGAAAAGCGCTACTGTTTCAATATCCTCTATTTATCTTTTATAGGTATATCGATGATATCTTCTTTACTTCGAATCAACCACTGAACAAAATCAATGAAATGTTAGATAACGCCAACGATTTCCATCCAAATATCAAATTAGTTCGGCAAATTGGTAAGAATGTATCCTTCTTAGATGTGCTTATTGAAAATGATCATGGCACATTGAAAACATCTGTGTATCACAAAGAAGCAGCCGAGCCATACACAGTACCATTTAATTCTGATCATCCTCATCATACCTTCAGAAATGCCATTGACACAGCACTTTTGCGTGCTGTACGCTATTCATCTACACTATCAACTTTTCAAAAAGAACAACGTACAATCAAACTAATGCTTCTTTACAACAAGTAATTCGATCTATTTCTATATGTTCACAATCACGGTTTATCCGATATCCGATATTTTCTAGCTATACACCACGGTTTATCTACAGCATATTCCACAATTTCATCACCACTTATGCCAAAACTTCAAACATCCAACCATTCATACATGATGAAAATGAATTCAGAGCGATCCGACAGAAAATGCTCAGCATTCCCACTATTCCAGAATGTCGAATGGCGTCCAGAATCGAAAGCGATAATGTTACTTCTGATCCTGAATCAGTAAAAACTGTTGTACCAAAAAACAAATCCACAAAATGTTCGAAGTGGGACAATCAACTCATAATTCATTACACTCATGAGCAACGCTTCCGGACATACAAACGAGACCTACACCAACTTTGGGATGAAACATATCGATCAACACCAATCATTCATACAAGACTAATCGTTGGTAACAGAAACAATAGAACGTTAGCACGAGAATTAGTACATCATCGACACATTAAACATCAACTGAAACAACCGTGACAACCATTCGAGACATTGACTTCACACCAAACCTACATTTCGAGCATCGTAGACTTTTCTGTACATATTATTTCTAATAAACTACTCATTTCAGTATGAACTTTTACACATATCTCAAACATTGGCATACAAACTACATCTAGAACAAAACGTACATTCAGAACTTCACCTATAACCACTTACAAGACACTACATACCATTTCTGACTATTCCACATACACACCACGCATAGAGAAACTGACAACGTCAGGTACAAAGTCGCAACTACCTGATCAGACTATTAACCCTTGTGCGGTTTTTGTGGATCCGGCGAGACCCACAGCAGTATTTTTTTGCTGTTTCTACACGAAGGCACGTCTTTTTGGGGTCATCTCTATGCTAATCGTTAGTACCATGACAACGGATATGTACCATATTAAACTTTACACAAAAGCCTTACGGCTGCAAGACTGAAGTATGGGTCCACACGGACCCCCGGATAACTTTTACGTTACATTAGTGATTTTCATACGAATTTCGTCTGCCATCTATTTTTTCCGAGTTTACTGATCTCTGATTCGTTAGTACAACACTGCCAATAGTATAACATTTACATTTCAAACCATTCCTCTGACAATTTTGTTATACTTTTTCCAAATATATCTCGTTTCGTCTTTTGCGGCTGTCGCAGCAATTGTGTCAAGAATTTTTACGTTGAAAATAGTAAGTCTGGAAACCATCATGAATTTATTTGTATAAACTCAATAATTTCATAGCTTTTCAGATTAAAAAAATGGCTAATAATACAACTCGAAAAAGGATTCGAGAGATCTATCATAGAGACGATAATAGTGATCTTGATAATACTATTTCTGAAGATGATAAATCGAATTCTGATGCCGACTCAGATTATTGTCCATCTGAAACAGAATCCGATGATACATCCACTGACGAATATATTTCAAAAGATGATGACTCATCTGATTCGTATGCTGCCGATGATGATAGAACCACCAATATTCAGCCTGATTCATTAGAAAAAAAATGGTATTCGATGGACAAAAGAGTGTAAATTGAATCACGATCGTCTTCCTGCCACCAACATAATCAAGAAGAAATCAGGTGCTGTTACTTCTGTTAATACAATACTTGATGCTTTCAAGCTTTTCTTGATAAATGAGATATTAGATGCAATCGTATTACATACAAATAATTATGATCGAAGATATTGTGACCAACAAAACCAAAGAAGGATCAATGCTGGTGTTTATAGATCAAAATTGATTCAATGGAAAGAACTCGATCGTATTGAATTAGAAGCTTTTCTCGGCTTGTTAATTCAAGGTGGCGTTGCTAAAATGAATCATCGGTGCATTGATGACTTATGGGATATTAGCAAAAGTTGCCCTTTATTTTGTGCTACAATGTCATCAAAACGATTTCAAAATCTTTTACGATTTATACGATTTGATGATCGTTTACGACGTGATAAATCTGATCGATTTGCTCCAATTCAATGTATTACTGAATCTTTTACAAAGCAATTACCTCGTCATTTTGTTCTAAGTGATAATATAACTATTGATGAACAATTGGTTCCGTTCCGTGATCGATGTTCATTTGTTCAATATATGCCGAATAAGCCAAGTAAATATGGAATTAAGTTTTGGCTCTTATGTGATGTTGACGTTAGATACACTTTGGCATTAGAAATATATGCTGGTAAAATAAACCATGTTATTCAACGAAACCTTTCGACAAATGTTGTTTTACGTCTGATTAGCACATTACCTGATCAAGTTAAACAAGATCGAAATGTAACTTACGACCGTTATTTTACTAGCTTGAACTTGACTAATGCTTTACTTGAAAAAAAAAGATGACTTCATTAGGTGTTGTTGATCACAAACGTTCTTTTATTCCGGATGAATTGAAGATTGTTCGTAATAATTTGTACTCTTCTTGGTTTTTCTTTTCTGGTGCAAATACATTATTATCCTATCAAGTCAAACAGAAAAAACCACCAATTATCTTGTTATCAAGCGTGCATAACATTCCTGAAGTATTTGATGACAAAAAGAAACTTCCAGTGATGATGCATGATTATAACCAAACCAAGTTTGGAGTGGATGTAATGGATCAATGTATCAATAATTACACATTTGGTAGAATTAGTAGAAGATGGCCTATGATTGTATTTTTCAATTTAATCGATATTGCCGCAATCAATGCAATGACTTTATGGTTGCACATAAATCCAAATTGGCATAATCATCAAACAAATATTCGACGTCTTTTCTTGGAAGATCTTGGAAAACCATTAACATATGCACACAATACACGTCGTAGTGAACCATCTGCCCATACATTACAAGTAAAGCTTGCATTACAATCTCTTGCCTTTGTATTAAAACCGAAGTTATCAACAAGTGAAGTACATTTGGGAAATTCGGTCAAAGAAAAACGACGGCGTTATATGTGTCCAACGCAACTTGGTCGTAAAGTACAACAAGTTTGTGATATTTGTAGAAAAAACGTCCGCAGATCTCATTCATCTAGTTGTACTAGTATCGTATGTCACTCACGTACACAAAATACTTGAGAGTGAAAATTGAGTAACGTCACTTTACAAGTGGAACTAAATATTTTTAGCATCATATTAGTATTAGTATTTTTTTTATCGATTATAAAGAATAAAAGAAGGCGTTTTTGGTATTAATACTCGAGATCATACATAAATTATATATATTCAAGTATATCTACTATTCATACTGAAATCATATCCATCATTCATTTAAAAGCATTTTACAATTATAACCTTATCCTAGTTTTTTTTGAAAACGTTGTTTTGAACATACCCGTCGTTTTTATATATTACAAACACACCAAAATATTTGTTCTTTAAAAAAAGTCACGGCATAGGACATGATATATAGTTTCTATTGCATAATTCATGAAAAATCAAGTTTATTTTGTTTATTTTTCTGTGGGTCCTTCCAGACCCTCATATACCGTTTGTGTCAAAAAATGAGGATACCCTTCGAGGGTTAAGCTTAGTCGAAACCCGCCGTAGAATGCTTCCTTACATCCGAGTGATTACACAGTCTAAAACCACCTGATGAGACTACTAAGCCTAGTCGAAACGCGTCGTAGAAAGCTTGACTCACTCCTTCCATAGAAATACTAGCTCTTCTTGGAAATCAGTTCTTTTTCTGAATTTCCTTGAAAATATAGTTAGTTATGTAGCCTATCTATGATTTTCGGATCATTCTGGATGACTACAAAGTCGAAACTACCTGATGAGACTACTAAGCCTAGTCGAAACGCGTCGTAGAAAGCTTGACTCACCCGTTTTTCCTTTCTGTCGTTATCTTTCAAGGCGAAATTCTCGCATTCTTCGTTACTATTATCTGTTTTTGTAAACCTAGAGGACAATTGAAGGTTCTCAGTGTGATATGACGAAAAGAAAATATTGATAAAGATTTCTCTGAAGATAAGAAAAATGCTGATGTAACATGACATAAGAAAAAATTCAAAATTGTATTTAAATTGCATTTTCACTTGTCTTTTTTTTATAAATCAACAAAAAAAAATGAGAATTTGTTATTTCTTATTACTTCTTCTCAGGTACAAAAAAATTATTCTTTAGTATTATTATTTGAAATTTCTTTTTATTATTTTAGTTTCTCAAGTAAATGATCTTCTGTATTACTTTATAAATTGATATTTCGTTTTTCAATAGTTGAAAGTTGTGCTACATCATGTGATGGGTTGTCACAATATGACAAATGTTCAATCAATCCTTCATGTTTTTGTCTTCATTCCGCATCTTCAAATGCCACCGGTATTTGTGCATTTCAAGGTACAACTTGTTCGGAACTTGCTGTCTGTACGTTAAACACTCATTTATGTTTTCAACCAAATCACATTTGTGTTCAACATCCTCAATGTCAACATCAACCTCTATGTTATCCATTATCAATGGCGACCGATCAACTGTGTCCACCAATTGTTAATCAGATATGTTCAACAGCGACATGGTCAACACACGGAGTAACAGTTGCTGGTGGACATGGTCATGGAAGAGAATTGTATCAACTAACAGATCCGTATGGAATATTTCTGGATGAAAATGATACGATTTACATTGCAGATCATTCCAATCATCGTGTGATGAAATGGGAACAAAATGCAACAATTGGTCAACGTCTTACGGGATTAAACGACGATGGTGACACAAGTCATCATCTTCCATTAAGTTCGCCACAAGATATTGTTGTAGATAAAAATGGTACAGTTTATATTAGTGATGGAGGAAATTATCGAGTTGTTCGATGGTTTCAAGATAAACACAGAAGTGAAATTCTTGTAGATAATATTCAAGTGGTTGGTATCGGACAAGATAATCAAGGTTTTATTTATGTTTCGGAATTTACCAATGGACGAATTACAAAATGGAATTTTAATGGAAATGAATTTGATGGACAAATTGTTGCAACGAATTTACGTCAATCAAGTCTTATTTTTATTGATGAAAAACAATCGATTTATGCAGTTGGATCTCATACGCATCGAATTGTTAAAGTAATTGAAGGTAATGATGAACCTGTTATTATTGCTGGAGAATCCGATCGACCAGGTAATGGTCTTCATCAATTTAATCGTCCAACGGGTGTTTATGCCGATGCACAAGAAACAGTTTATGTAGCAGATTCACTCAATCATCGAGTCATGCGTTGGTTAAAAGATGCGACAAGTGGAACAGTGATTGCAGGTGGAAATGGTCAAGGTTCATCATCGGATCAACTGAATTATCCATCGGATGTATTTCTTGATCGAGAAGGAAATCTCTATGTCAGTGATATGTTAAATAATCGAATTCAAAAGTTTTTGATTGATAAAAGTTCTTGTCAAAAGAAAAAATCAATAAAATTTGTCTTATAATTTAAATTTGAGTGAGAGTATGAATACTTATTTATGTCTTTACTTAAGCATACGCTCATCCACAAACACCTCGCACACTCCTGACTATGGTTCAAGTTGATTTATTCCCCGGAATTGAGATCAATTTTAGATGGCAATTACGAGAACTTATTGGCTAGTTTATGTATATCTGTATAGGTCTAAGCCTCTCATACTATACAGTTCAGTATGTTTTGATGTAGCCAAGGAGAGGACAATTGTCTACTTCATCCGTTTAAATCTTAGTCGGTCCCGGTACAGTTTTTTGTCGAATCCAGCAGGTTTCGACAAATTCCTTGTCACCGGATTCCTACCCAAAGTTCACTAAAATTCGATGAAAACAATCACATTTCATTTTTCATCTTCTATAATTCAATCTGATTTCTTTCATCTCTGCATTCTGTTACATCTGCAACATTTGTTCTTATGATACTCCCACACTATTTCTCTCTATATGCACACAAAATTCGCTCATTAGTCTGAAAATCCTGGCTACACCATTGATTAAAAATAATGATAAATCAGCTGCTACTACTGGAGAATGTGATCGAGAAGGAAATCTGCATGTAAGCGATATGTTAAATAATTGATTTCAGAAATTGCTGATAGTAAAAAGGTCTTGCCAAAAAAAAGAAATAACTCATTTTCTTCTTTGACATTTTCTACGAATAAAATTTGAATGTAAAAGTAAATGTTATTCGTACCTTTAAATTTGTTTTCTAACGACTTAACCTTTATTTTTCAATATATTTCTATTTATTTTGATTAATCATATGTAAATGATATGAATATAAATGAATTTATTACGAAAAACACTCGAAATCAGATCTTGATAATCGTATCTCTCATGTCTAAATGATTAATCCAACGATAACAATTCCTATTAACATTAACATATTAAATGTTGTTAATTTCGTTGCATCACACGTTGAATCGACATCTCCAGCAGCACCAACAAGTGGGCAAGTTCCAAGGAAATTCGTTGAACATGAAACCCGATTACACGTAACATCATTACAAAGAAGACTTAGATCAAATGATTGACTTGTCGATCCAGCAGATGTTGAAGCTTCACATCCACTTGATGTACAACACTTACAGACACATCGAGTACTTGACGTCAATTCAAGACACAATATTAAAAAGATACAAAGTATATAGAAAGATTTCATCGGTTTTCGATTAAAGAAAAAGTAATGAAAAAAGAAATATGGATGTAAATGACAGTTGAATGGAGATTATATATCCCCGATGGAAAGAAAGAGAGAGAAAAAACGGCTATGAGTAATATATATATGAATAAATCTCAATGAATATCAAGTTGCGATATTGTTTCTTTTTTTTATATAATGTTTGCTCGATAATGATATTTGAATCAATTTCTCATTATGTATTGTGTCTGAGAAATGACAGATCATTTAGAAGGAATATTTATCCGACACTGATTTCAAAGAGGTGATTAACTCAGTGAAATCACTTCCAAAATATCATATATTTTAATGAAAAACAGATCAAATTGCATAATCAATAACCCGACTGAAAGAATATTATTTTATCATAAAACGAATCGTTTGTTACATGTTACACTTACTGATGCACCGAGAAAAGTGACATTTGTTTCTGTTTCATCTGTATCAGATACAATTCCACAACCTTGACCATATCCTTCTCGATCCATTGTAACATTTAAATAACCATTAACACGTATAGGATGTGATGCAGTTAGAGTAAAATCATTTTGCGTTTCACTTAACATATAAATTCCAGCAAATGCAAATATCATATCTATCGTTGAATGATTTAACCACGAGAATTTCTATTTGTTGATATACAAGGAAAGATTTGTTCGTGTTCTTATTTCTTTCACTCGAGATGACATCGATTCAACTGAAACATTTGGTGAAATCATATAATTGTAGTTCAAATCCTGAAATGGTTCACGACCATGGTCAATGTACAAAGTGATCATTCGTGCTTTGATTTGTTCTTTAGAGGGATTAATAGTTATATAATCTCCTGTTCGATTTTCCAATTGTATTCCTAACGAATTGTAATATCATTGCTGTTACAACAAATAACCGATAAAGCATTAGATAGTGCGATAATGTATCCACGACAGCTGAACCATACTGATTATCACAGACTCTACCAACAAATCTTCGACTATTGTGATGATAATATTCACTACCTGCACGATTAACAGTTGGAATATCATGTTCAACTGTTATACTATTGATCGCTTGTCAATCAAGAATATGATATGTTCCAATATTATCATTGTAACCATATCGATGAAGATTAAACATCGATAAATTTGTATTTAAATCATTTACAGAAGATTTGGTAACCACCAATCTGCATAAAAAGTCATATTTTTTCGAATGATCAATTTCTGTCTGAGTTGAATTGTTACCCAACATTAATAATTGCGTAGTTGTCCTAAAGGAAAACATATTTCATTTAACCATCAATGTGAATTTCTTCAATCATGATGAAACCAAACGGAAAACAACTTTTTTGCATTGTTTTTCAGTGATGATCCATCAGCAGTAAATGCTCTTAACATATTTGAAATACGAAACTTATGTTCTTCGGTACCCCAAATGGCTACGCTTTCACTTGTGTAATTCAGATCTGGCCAATAACAAGAATTGTTCAAAGTTGTACACAAATCAAGTACTTGTTCTGGTAAGGATGAGATATTTTCTGGTTTCAGTCAAATAATTAATTGTAAAACATATTGATGTATTATATCAATTTCATCGTTTTTCTTTGCCGCCCAAGTTACATGTTTTACTTAGAACGTATTAAAGATGACACGAATCGAAAAATTTTATACAAAATTTTCGCTAATTCAGATATGATTGGTTTTTAAACAGGAGGTTTAATGGTGAAATATCTATCATCCTGCATTACTTTTTGATTTCATGTATTTGTTTTCGACGAGATAAGAGCTCCATGAAGAACTGTTCCTTATTATTAGTATGTTCAGAATCAATCGCATTGCAGATGTTGAAAAATTCCTCATTATTCAACAGAGTGGGTACCATCTATTTCGAAAATAATGATGTTAGAAAAAAGTACTTCTAGTACAAAAAATGAAGGTGAAGAAACGACACATTTACTCATAGTACCGCCGTCCCATCGTGACAGCAGAAAGCATACGTATATGTATTTTAATACTTCAATAAATATTATAATATAGTTTCTGTAGGCGCTGTCGTTCGATTTGATGGATGTTTCTTCGAGTCTGTACACACAGCGGATGATGGATAGGATAGTAACGGTCGTTTATGCTCATAACTTTCTTATAACATTCGAGTGCATACTCGATGTTTCTTGCAGCTTTATATCTGTTAGCTAAACAATAAAATTCGCGAGCCAAATATAATTCGTCAATTAGCTGTTTATCTAACTGAATTTTCAGTGCTTCCTTGTAAAAGTCATCTGCTTTTTCAAATCTATTCATTGATTGGTATGTTTGAGAGATATGAATGAGAATATCAACCATATGAAAATAAATAGCGGGATCGATATTTACATGAGTCTTTAACATTAGAGATATATTTCCAATTGCTTGACGTGGTTCAATTTTGCAAGTTAATTCAATGTGTTGTAGAATACTGTCAATAGTACGACGTTGATCGGTATGTGCGGGACATTTGTATATCATATCAAGCGCCAGAAGACCGTGGTTAAGAGCCTCATCGACTTTGAATATATTGTAATACATTTGACCGATTTGATAAAGGCTCCATGCTGTGTTACGATGAATAGGCGGCAAGAATTGTTGTCTGAGTTCCAGTGCCTTTTGATGATAACAAAGCGCATCATCATATAGACGTTGGTATGAGTATATATAGGCAATATCTTCGTAACTGAAGGCAAGGACAACACTATCTGGCGATAAACAGTTCTCTCTTACTTGTAATGCTTCAAAGTAATATTTAAGAGCAAGCGTATACTCCTTTTCATAGAAATAATATCGTCCTATACTTCTACAGACTTCTGCAATATATCGATTTGGTACCGATATTTCTTCCTCTAAAATCTTCTTCGCTTCCAAATAAAATGGGAAGGCCTTCTGGTTCTTTCTCTTTTTACAATAAATTTGACCTTTGTTATGTAAAATCAAAGCTGTATATACTTTTTCTGGTGGATGAAACTCAGAGATTGAAGTATACGCTTTTTCAAAATAGTCGAGCGCACGGTCATATTCACACTTATCTCTCAGAGCGACACCCATACGATTATATATGTGAGATATACTTTCTGCCCCTGGCTCCTTCAACAGTCGTTCAAAATAGCGTAATGATTTATCTGCTTGACCTAATCTTTTCAGTAAAACGCCTACCATTATTGTGGGACTCTCATACTGCATTTCTTTTCGGCAATCTTCTATATAAGCTTTCGCTTTCTCTCGGCCTTCCTTAGTGGTTCTCATCTGTACTACAATTAAGTCTTCAACACCTTCCTTTATTTCGCTAACATTCTCTACGCAGAAAATAGAATCGGCATCGAACACATATTCATCTTCTGTTGGAAATTCACTTAATTGTGACACGTCAGCAACAATAACCGAATCGTTATGACTTTTAAGATCGCATTCAATATGAAATAATACCGCAAACATGTTTGACAAACCTGGCGGCGCGCGCGCGAATGTAAGTGCAGTGTGACGATTACGACTACTGGACAAATATCCATTGTTTGCGATCAATTTTCCACAATTAGCTCGGATATCTTGAATTTCATCCATGTGCATTGCTGTACCACGGTATAAATGTAATTTTTCATCTTTACCAGTTTTGATCTTTTCATATTCCTTCGCAAGTTGTTTGGACAAATCAGAAATATAATAACGAAATAAGTAAAGTTGGTCGATATCTTCTCTCCGCAATGCTTTATTGATTATCTTATAAATAAATCCCTCCTTTGTATACCACCGAATACAATCATCTTCATGATAATTAGTGTTAAAATTATCGATGTCCCTCAGTATTCGAGAATTGTTGTGGTAGTACTCACGACATACCTTGAGCATGTCTTCTTTTGCTTTAGCATCGTGTGGTAATTGTTGAATGACATATTTGAATAACTGAAACCTGTAAAAGAAATAAGTCAATAACAAGAAAAAACTGAAGTATATTTCACCAGAGAAAGCCTGCTGAACGTTCAAATAACGCTCGACTACCTCGTTGATATTGGTCATAAAAAGCAATCGTCTCCATTTGTCTGTTCACGCCTTTAATATGTTGGGCAATAGACTTAATAAGATCATTATGATTGTCAAAAATGTCTACAATCATAGGATAATCACATCTAAGTCGTTTACACTTATCGCGATTGGTTGGAAAGATAAAGACTGAATACAGTTTCAGTTTCGATGGATTACTAATCTTTGGCAATAATTTAAATGCATTGTCATTGGATAGGATAAGGAAGATCTTCTCTTTGTTAAATGATCCAACAGAATTAATACATTCATCAATATTCGTAGGAAAACGAATTAAATTGTTCATCGCTTGAAGACGTTTCTTTATTTCCTCAAGATTATCTGGTGAATTGGTGACAGGGTCAAACCAGATGAGTGCTATATTTTCATCATTTTCCTGCATGGGATTGTTCATAATTCTATTTTGTTGCAATATTTTTTGAATCTAAAAGAAAGATACGTATATGAATACAGTCGAGTCCGCTTAAAAGAGCGCGGTCGGGGTTTCAAAAAGAGGCTCTTATGTCCTGACCACTCCTTTATCCGAACTACATGTAAAACAGTTCAAAAATTCGTTCTTCTTAACATTTATTAAGTAGTACATAGATATACATAAATTTACTTAAAGAAATCGGTGCTTTTACTTTGAGTACGATTAACTAAAGCGTTCTTTTCGATCATATCTTCGATGTTATAATATGAATTATATTCTGTAAAATTCTCTTCTAAATACTTGCGAACCATCGAAAGATGCATCAGCGCATCTTTATGAGAGACACCTCCCATGTCATAAGAATCGTCGCGATTTTTCTGCTCTGTGTCTATAGCAACAAGCCAAAAAAGTCGGCGATTCGGCGTCCAATTAATCACGATTTAGCGCCCGCTAATCACCGATTTTTTTGGCTTGTTGCTATAGACACAAAGCAGAAAAATCCGGCATAGAACAGCATGAAAGAACGAAGGAAAGGAAAATTTCATCACATATGCCTGAAAAGATAGAAAATTCTTGACAGACGACTAACAAAAAAGAAAAGAAGAAAAACATAAGTGCATATTTATGATCATATAGATAAACAGTCTCTTTCATGCAGACCAAAATACAGCTCTTATAAGTGGACTCGACTGTATATAATTTTTCAATGAAAAACTGGTTTTTTCCGAGTGCACTAATGATTGAGCTATGCACTTTTATCGTTGAAAACATATGAAACTGCGTAGAAAGAAAAGTTTCGAAGGAAAATGTCACATAAAAGCAAGAAATGCGCTACTAATCTGACGTGACGAGAAAAAGAAAAACGACGCACTTATAATTACATATCAAAAGCAGACATTTCAATGCTTTTCTCCTTCTTTGACCAAATTGTTAGAAAAGTAGACAGAAAAAAATGTTTGTATTAGCTACAGAGGGTGAGGATGTAGAGTACATTTACGCAAAACTCACCCACGAAATCTTCAACAATGTTATATAACATAGAAAAATAATCATACAGATTTACTGTAGATGCTTAATGAAACTTTTCGATTTACAAGAACAAAACTAAATCGAAAGATATTCCGAATCATCTATAACTGGCATGATGCCAGGAATATAGAAATTTCAAATATGAATAGATATCTACCCAAGCAGTCAAGAATTTTGAAAAACGCGTGTAAACGTACAGGCGGAAACCTCGACTGTGAGCTGAACACCTCAGCTAATAAAACATTAAAAAACGTTTTCAACGTGTAATTGGCACTTTCAGAACGTGAAAACATTACAAATCGAACTTATTCAGCGGTTTAACGCATAGTTTATGAAATGTGTTAAAAAAAGGACGTAAAAACACTTAACAATTGGAATATTATGTTCAACTGTTATACTATTGATCGCTTGCCAATCAAGAATAGGATATATTACAACATATCGATAGCACGATGGTGAAAATACTTTCACTCATCAATGATCATTTTGGAGAAAGGGCGGTTTTTTTCTAAAGTCTGAATCGAATAAATAGTATTGGAAAACGAGCGAAATTCGGTTAATGTCAACAAAATTATTAATAAAGGAAAACCAAGAGAGAACAGTGAGTTCATTTCTTTTCTCATGACATGATGTATATCTATGATTGTTTTGTTTGATTTTTTTGGCTTTGATGAGATATTACTGTCTTGAATTGGAGGAAAACAATAATTAACATCCTTCTTCCTTTTCATATTCGTTAGTTATGATGCTCTCATTGTTGGAAGAAAATAACTCATATGTAATGTCGAATGAACACGAATCAGTAGCAAGTTCGCGAGAAGATCTATTGTACATATTTCGTATCCGATTCACGATCTACCGATACTGTTACGACCATTATCACAAAGTCTGCTAGACAATCGTTTAATGACTCTGACTGATTCATCTTTGTGTTCTTCTTTGGTTCAGTAAATGCCAAGATTTCTTGGTAGATGTTTGTCTGTCGTTGTCCCATATACAGAGAACACAGTGTGTTACTGCTCGCGTAGAATATTTAAGTCTCTCATCGTTGATATCATCGAACCATGAATATAAATGATTCTTTATTGGGAAAGATTTGATAAGAACAGAGGACAAGTTGATACATTAGCCATTCTTTCGCATTTTCATGTGTTTCACCGTCAGCAGATAGATGGAAATCAACACTTACAATTTACTGATATTACCATTGTTTATGTTGAAGAAAATCACCCTCAAGTATTGTAACTAGTAGCACACTGATTGACTGTCTCAATACTCTCTAATTATTTGAATGACTTCGTTTCATGATTAAGACCGATCTGTGTCATCCTATTTCCGTAGTGTCAAACGTAGTCATAAAATAAAAACAGAAGTCTGTCACATCAATATAATTCTCTGAAGTAAATCCAGTGGAAAATACAACGGTAATAACTACTGTAGAGACAGCATCACTGAAGATACTCGAGATTCTGATGCGGGTTGTTCTTTCACGCACTCAATGAACGATACGCGCTAGAATACATCGTCGACCATATGTGATTACGAATCCGATGAAAACTATTGTTGCATACTTCCTCATGGATTTCTCTTTTTAGACACGCGTGGTCGTTACAACAAAATACTAATTAGATCGAACATCTTCATCTCGTAATCAGAATGCTAATGACAAATGTCAGTGTGTATATATTTCGATCAAAAATAGCATATAATCTCATTCTTCTTCTTGCACATAGTTTTTTCCTCATACGCATATCTTTTCAAAAATTCCAACATCGATCGAATGGCTTCAAACGAGAGTATCCTCGTCAAGGAAGACTATACGAATAGTTTCCTTCCACATGAACTTCGATTTTGGATCATACTTTCGTTTAATACCCTTTCGCTAGTCTGTTCTCTTTTTCAACTCTATCATCTGTGTACAAAACGTGCTCTTCGCACGGCATTAAATAATCATTCGATTATTGCTCTTCTTTGTACTGGATTGAGTAGTCAACTAATTGATATTCCATTCTATGTCGTTTACATTCGTCTCGGTTACGTATGGCCTTCAACACCATTTTTCTGTCGTTTTTGGTGGTATGTGGACATGGAAGCCTTGGAAGTCACTGTGTTTCTCGTGTTGTGGACATCGCTCGAACGACATATGCTCATCTTTCATGATAGATGGTTCGTAACTGCAAAGAAACGTTGGCTTCTCCATTATCTACCATTGATCTTTTTCATTGCCTATCCATTGTTATTTTATCTGATCATTCTTCTTTTCGTAACGTGTGATTATCCAGCTTCGTATGATTATACACAACCATGGTGTTACTATTCACCTATCTGTTACAATGACATCATTCTTGTTCGATATGATATCTTAGCCAATTGGACAGTGTGTGCGACGTTAAAGCTTCTATCGGATGTTGCATTGATCGGTCGATTCATTTGGCATCGTCGTATTCGTCTTCATCAGCCTGTTCAATGGCGAAAACATCGAAAAATGTTTCTCCAACTCATGTCAATTTCCATGCTTACATCAAGTTTCTCGATGCCACTTCTGATCTTTTATTTGCTCGTAAATTTTGCTAATCTATCAACCAATATAAATCCAAATCTGGAATTGAGTCTGCTCTATTTACTTTTATGTTCAATTCTATGCTTACCATTTGTTATGCTTCTTTCATTTCCGAAAAAATATTGGCTAGATAAATGGAAAACGTTGTTATGTGAACGACGACGACCACCATCACGACAGATTGCACCTGCTCGAATCTTTCCGCCATCTTGAGGGTAAGGGTGTGATATGAATTAGGCGAATTAACAATGTGAATTTTTATGTAAATAAATAACAACTAATGTTTTGCAAGTTTTCTGGTAATCTTCAATGTATTTTTAATGTTTGGATGTACAGAAGTAAACAATTTAATTAATGAACAAATGTGGAAATGAAGAGATAAATAAACAAAGAAGTGGCTGAATGATTGCATGAATAAAGAAAAATATTTTTAAAGCAAATTTTTAAATTTTATGGAAGTTTTTGAGTGTTTTTTTTGAGATATAAGGAATTGGTGCTAAATGGAAAAGAATTGAATATTGAAGGAAAAGAAATATGAACTCGAGGAGTAAATAAGTATATTGAATGAGGGTGAGGCCAGAAAAGTACTCAACTCAGGGGAAAATGTACTGCTATTCAACACTTACACGAGACACACTAATAAATCACAATCAAAAACACATCAAATTATTATGGAAAGGGAGAATAATTTTTTATCGTTGTCGTTGGTCGACTTCACTGTTGACATATGTAGAACAAAAAAAACAAGCGAGTATCTTTTTTCTAGAAAGTAAATGTATTTATTATTACTCTTCTATATTCTCGACTAAATTCTTAATCACTTTTTTAGAAGGTTTCTTTTGTACTAAAATACTGTTCAAGTTACCCGTTAAACGATCCGCAAAAAACTACTGAAACATCAATTGAAGTTGAAGGTGGATTCTCGAAAATTTCTTGCCAAATCTGATGAAAACGTGCTCCAAATCGAGCTAAAGTTGGTGGACATGTAAAATTTAATAAAGTATCTCGATTAAAATTAATCTCTTTCTTATCTTTTCTAGTCCATTATGAATCTAAAACCATATTTCTGCACTCCTTATGTTTCTCACTTACGTTAGTCTGTCTGTTCGACATCACTTTCTGTCAATTGTTTTGATTCGAATTCATGAAAAGAAGAGGGCAGGCATAATTCTTTTCAAGCAGAATTTCAGAACTATGGAAGAAGTTTATTCGCTCCTATAAAGGATTTATTCCTAAATCTGTTTTGTAAAAAGAATTTCTCCAGAATCAGTTAAGAATTTTGCTTTCTATTAGAAATATGGTGAGTGCTTCACTCTCCTCTCTCTGCCGATATCATAATTCTATTTAGAATTCTATCTCGCAAGCAGAATTACACTAGAATATAGACAGAATTCTATGTTTTCAACAGAATCATGAGGTTCATACGAGCACTCTCTCGGTCAAAATCAATATTTCTGCTTAGAATTTCGCTTTTCCAGCAGAATTACACTAGAATTTAGACAGAATTCTATGTTTTCAACAGAATCATGTAGTTCATACGAGCACTCTCTCGGTCAAAAGCAATATTTCTGCTTAGAACTTTGCTTTTCCAACAGAATTACACTAGAATTCTATGTTTCAGCAGAACCAAGGTTTTCTACATTACAATATCTTGAAGGATGTATTTTGTCAAATGTGAAATTCTGCTTAGAGCTTTGCTTTTCGAGCAGAATTCTGGAAGAATTTTGATAGGATATAGCATGTTTCGGCAGAATTTTGGTTTCTTTGTTAGCACTATCATCAGCAACTGGTGAGGCAAGATTGTGAGCGAGTGTTCACTGTTTTAGGCAGAATTATGATAGAAATCTGATGGCGATCAAAGAATTTTGTTCGTTTGGATACTATTCAAATATCACGAGTTGAAAACGTTTGGACGTAAGTTTTTCTTCAATTATAATCGTAGTTGCAAACGAGAAACAATACTGGTGTAATTGTTTTGATATGTTTTGTACGCTTATGAAGAATCAGAAACGTGTTTTTTCGGTAACAGTCTAGAATGTCCTTTAGAAAATGTCCTCGGACGAAATGTCCTTTTTCTTTTCGTCCTTTCAGCTTTTACTTGAGTTTATACGTGGAAACACACACACGCACAGACTGAACATTATACCTATAGATTCCGTTGCGCAAAAGATAAAAATCTGTAATATTAACAGCATTTCGCATAATTAATTAGCTTTATTTGTATTCATAATTTCAAGTAATTTGCTATCCCAATCAGTAATTCCTTTAGGTAAGCAAAAGTTTTCTGGACGCAATTTAGAATTCGGATTTTGTTCGATGGTTTTCGTAATGGCTTTATTATTCCGCTGATCGTGTGAACGTGGTACATGTTTCATATGGCATAATGAAACTCCACTGACTTCAGGGCACAAAGATACCTACGAAATGAAGATAATTGAAAGTATATTCTCAATATTAACATACAACATTAAACACCGATGACACTGATTTCTTCACCGACGACATATTCTTTGAATGAAATAATATCAACATGAACAACGGTGCTCGCAAATAGCCCAGATTGCTCATGATGTTAGCGTACTGCTTCAACCACGAAAACGTTTGTTCAGCAGCTTGAGTGTTGACATTGTCGAGTACTATAAAAAAAATGAAAAGACTCCTCATATTCAAGAACAAAACACGAAATTACATCGATTATTATTGGGGTTCATTGTTTCGCGACAAAATTTTCCTACGTGATTTCGAAAATGGCTACGATCAACGCTCACTGGTGTCGAGGCAAGAAGTTTCATCGCTGGCGTTCTGGTAAGATCTTTCCCAATATGATTTATGACGTACTTCACTAAATGACAACCATCGTCATACACCAGGGTCGGTGCTAACTTCCCAGCAACTATCGGATAAAAAGAAATTATTGGGTCTTTCAGCAAAAGGATAACATACCCCGATACGTGATAGCAAACAGATTAATAATTTCTTTTAATGTTTCCGATCGGTATAATTCGCTGAAGGATGTAATAATACGACAGTTAGTAATAAGAGCAATTAGTCCGAATGATCTGGTGCATTTATTTATGTAATCGTTTGATCGAGCTTTCAATGTTCGACAACCGGTTGCATTAAGAGAATTGGCATTCCTGTTTCTCTTTTTGTAAAATTTGAGAACTTTTCGCTTCGTTAAGTCTTGTGATGAAGTAGCTGATTTAAACCGTTGTTGCTCTTCAGCTGATGACGCATTGTTGTGATATTCACAATAACGAGATGATGGTATAGGCGTTCGACAACATCCAATAACTACGTTCATCATTTCATCTGTGTTCACCTTTACATCCTTAAATGCACATATTCGTCGTCTAGTCTTTTGATGCCCATCTACGACCAAGCATTTTGAGCAGTGGTCACCACACGAGCCTATTATTGAACTATGATTTGTCCACAGATATATGAAGCACGATAGTAAATGTGGGAATTTACACCAAGCCCATTCATTGAATTTCGTTAGTTGAGAAGGTGTGTCGACGTTGTCGTGACTATAACAAATATGCAGTTGAATTGTAAGAAAAGCTTGAAGTATGTTTGCCAATGCGCGACGATCAATAGGTGTTAACTGAATGTGATTACCATTGATTGCTTCTTGGTTTAAAGTATCGGCATATTCGGACATGGAGAGATCACGATAAACTAGATGTGCAATAAATTTTTCTGCAATACTACGTTCAACTGCAACATCACCGCCCAAATAAACATATGACCCAAAATATAAACTGTCATAAGTATATATATTGCGATTATTAGTGCGAATGAAGTTTGGATAGATTGTAATTGGACACAGATCTCCATTTCGTGAACAACGGGCATGCACATGATTACAGCGAAGAGTAAACATTGTAGCTAGAAGTAAAAGCCGATTTCACATAGTGGATAATGTGATCTCCTATGAAGAAAATCCATATTGAAAATGTATTCTTACCAATCATAACAGATCCATTACTGCAATACAGTCGAATACCTTGTTGTTGAGCATTATTTTCATTCAAATTGTTGTTACAAACTGGGCACGTAGAACGAAACGGAACCAGCAGGTGCTGGCTTTTTCGAACTGTTATCGATGAAATTGATGTGGGCTTATTCAACGGACGAGCTTGAGAAAATTCAGTAGACAAATCCTTGATCAACATTTTAACTTCATTGTCTGATTGATCACTTGCAAAGGTGTGACGCAAAGCTAGAGCAATTTTTCGTATTCGAAACTTGTCAAATGGGTATATGCGAGCATCCTCTTCCAACACAAAAAATAATTCTGCTAAAGTGAAATATCGCAACCAATAGCTAACTCGTTCAATAGCGACCGATGGGCTTCGCATAATAACAGGTAAAATATTTCTGAAAGTCATATAAGAAATATGTTTAGATATTAGCAAAATAAATACCGATGAAAGCGAATTGTTTGAGAGGATAGTTCTTTTTATTACGAAATAATGTTGAAATCAGTCGAAGTTAGACGCGCGCAAAATCTGTATCTCAAGAACGTTATTCCTTACAAAACATGCATAATATCATATAAGGAATGGACAGAGAGCTAGTGTTGAAATATCATGAAACTCGTGAATAAAAGTCCTAAAGTATTTATTCGTGTTTGTAAAAGAGTAACGATGAAAAGTTACATAAAAAGTTGCGTATTCATAACAAATGGAAACTTATGAATAAGAAACGCATGAAACTAATATATAAACATCATTAGTGATTTTCGTTGTTCGACGTATAAGTTGTGATTGAGATCTCTGCAGTCAGTTTTGCATTGCGCAACGTTTGTCCTTGTCTACCTCGGACGACTTTTCATCGATGTCGCGTAGAATAGTACGTATTGCACATGATTTCAACAGAGATATGATTTCATCGTCAGATAGTGAATCCATAGGATAACAGCTCTTGCCAGGTAAGCCGCTTCTTTCCGAAGTAAAATCTGATGATAAAGTATGCGCAGCGTTAATGCTTTTGTTGAAAACAGCGGGGAGCTGTTCCTGCACATTGTGTTCGTGAGAAGAATCGTTTGCCTGAGTTGCATTTGTTTTGTAAGTGCAAGCCGTTTTTCTTCTTGGTGATGCACGAGATGGTGATGGTAACGCCAATTCCTCTGTATGCGATAAACGAAGACGTTTAAAACTGTGATTTAATGAATCACTCGCAGTGTTGCCCATGTTGTTTATCTAAAAACAAACGCTGCAACTTCACGAAGCAAACGACAACAACAAAACAGCAATTGTTTATTTCCAACAAGTTAGTCTTTTTAAATATTTTCCTCGTGTTGTTCTAATCGAACGACTGTTGTCATAGTCGTTGCAAACTGTAAATCACCTTCAAAACGAACCAGAATATTTCATAAGTTGTGAACGAGAAATATTACCTTTGAAACATTGTACCACCAAATCTTTGATTTTCATGGTCTGGTTGATGCGGCCTGTGAAATTCATTGCCTGAATTAAAAAAACAAATGCAGAAAGAAGCAGTACGTAAAAATTAGCAATTGTCTTTACCATACCATGTCACCCCAGAATATGATAACAGCATTATCACTATCGTCTTGTACTTGAACTGCTCTTTTGGTCGAATAACACTTTTTCTTCATTATAAATATTGATTCTATATTACCAACTGATTTGATTGTCACACGTAAATCTATCATAGCACAAATGCAATGACAAGTGTACGTTTTTTAGGTTATATAATGGCTCACCAAAACATTTACCAATGTCATTGGACGAAACATCGGAAATCTTCGTGATGTGATATGATATATCGACATCACTATAAATGTCGTTATGAATAGAATCGAAAATCGTATTTTTCAACAAATTGATTTCGAAATCGTGTGATAAATGATTGAATTGTTTATTAGCTCGACTGACGAAGAAGTCGTGTAAACGATAAGCCTAGAACAATCGATGCGAAAAAGTTTATTCTTTCGATATGCTTACATTGCCTAAAACAATATGTTCGAAAAATTGATCTGCAACATCATTGAATGCTTTACACCGAATTTCACCAGAAAAATCTGCAATGTCAAAAGTAAAAAATTTTCCAGTTCCATTCGAGTACGTGAGAATTTCGCTTTTACGAATAACTCGACCTTCAATCATTGTCCTGAGAAAGCAAACATTGAGTATTTCAAAATAGTCACATAGATTAGTTTGTGTCACCCTCTATGAAATGCTGATGTGAGCAGAAGAATTGATGTGGGTTCTTCTTGAAAATCTATTTCTGATCGTCTTCGTTCGAGTTTTGACTCAGGAACGCAAATCATATTATTTGAAGTAGCACTAGATTTTGGGACAGCATCAAATTGACAGAGTTGAGGTTCACCGAAGATTGCGCTTTCGTGTGATACTACTTCCATGCGAACGATTTGCAAAACAGTTCTAAGAGAAAATCTTACGAAGCATTGAAAGGCAAATTCCTACTTTCCCGGAGACCTATTCAAAACTATAATCTTATCGATTCGCACAATATCATAAACACTCGCAGACAATGTTTCCAAGAGTGACACGTTGACAACGAAACCTGCAGAAGGTAGAATATAGCGTTTCGAATGAGCGAAGAAGACTATCGTACCTCCGTAGAATTTTTCTCCATCCGATAACTTCAGGCGAACAATACTTACTCCCAAAACATCGCCGTTCAAATGATGCATGTCCTAAAAGAAACGAATAAGGTATACCTGGAAAAGTTTAACAATTAACGTACCAAAATTTGTAGTTTTATTGGTAAACCATCAATATTGCCATAAGCCACTTGCTATGATGGAAAGGTGCAATTATAATAGAAAAATCCTGTAAAAAATGCACGAAGCATACGCCTATTGATAAACTTGTCAAAGCCATTAAGTTACCAGTCAATCTGAAAAGACGTAAATATCATAACTAGTAAGTAGTTTGCGCTACTCGTGTTGAACACGCAAGGAAAATATGTCAAATTGATTTCTCACGTAATAGAAAACACTCTTGAGGTTTCATTTGAGATAGTTAATCTCCTTCAAATATAACGATGAGAGATCACTTCTCCATCTTTTTTTTCACATGAAAAGGAAATGGAAAATATAACCAAAATATAACACTTTCAAAAAATGGAATACAAGAAACATCATAACAGTAACAAAAAAGGTAAATCATCTAGCTAACGAATGTGTTCAACAATTGTTTCGGATTCAGAGATATACGTTTTCATAATCTAAATAACTAACAAATGGCAAGAGTATAAAAAAGTAGCATGAGAATATAATGTTATCTGAGCAATAAATCTTGACGAGCAGGTTTCTATTTCTTGCCTAATCTCTTCGAGTTAGGCTTTGTTTTTCGTTTGTTGTGATTGTTATTCGAAAATCGCTTTGTTTTCGCACGTGTTCGTCGAGAAGGTGGACTTGGTGAGAAGTTTGCTACACCATCTATTCCTTCCGATTACATCGCAGCGGTTGATGAATTGTCAGTTGTCACACTGTTGCAATCTAAAATAAAACGGATTATTGGTATTATGATATGCAACATCCAAACCGAAAACAAAGACGCCACCATTATCATGACTTTTTTGCCGCGCTCGTGTTTTCCAGGCGGTTGGACTAGTAAAGCCATCGTTCACCAAGGCGTTTTCATGCTCATCAGATATGCTGCCTCGTGCATCTTCATTATCAGAATCTTTACAAAGTAATTCGATTAAACGAGCTTCCGGAACACTTTCTTGATTTTCGTCTTGCAGAATAGCTGTAGATTCAAATTCTAAAAAAATAATGTGTTGAGTAACATGAATGGAATTCGATTTGTTCAATCTTACCGTCGTTACGTATTGCGTCATTTGACGTAACATTTTCAGCAGTTGAACCGGAGTTCACGGGAACAGCAAAAGACAACATTGAGCTTTCTTCCGATGCTTCGATATTACTCTGTGTTGATTCTTCTGTTAATTGAGATGATCTTGGATTTTCTAAATAATGTATTCGGTTACGCATAATTATCAAAATAATTAAGTATACCTTGTTCCTGTGGAGAATCTAACTGCAGCTGTTCATCAATATTGAAATCTAGAGCAATAGAATCTAAGAAAAGCGTGTAGCTAATTACCAATCTATAGATTCGTCTGCTTACGCACCCGTATCATCACCAATAACTGAGGATGCTGAACCTTCGATTCTGACAGGAGCTGTTCTTGGTAGCAAAGTTAATGACGTTACATCACGGTTGCCATATTCACGTCGCCGTAATATTGCAAAGACTTCACTCTGTACGATGCCAATAGCTTCCAATGCAGTATTTTCACATGCATTGCGAAAAGCTTCAATTGTAACTGGTTTATTTTCGAACGTGTACTCGGACAGCATTGATGCCAAATTTTCTTCTTCATCAGAGTCATCTTGATTGCAAAGGCGTTTGATATAAACAGGTGTCGATCCAGATTGATTTTTGATACCACGTTGACATACAATTAAAACATCGGCTGTAACCAAATGTTCCAGAACTTCTTTGAGAAGACCACCACTGGAATTGTTGTGTATAAATGATGATTTGTGAAGTTGTTTTTTTGTGAAGCAGATGCTTGGAAATAAGATGATTGCTCCAGCAACAGCATTAAAATTGAACAAATATTTTTGTTGCTCTATGAGAAAATTAAAATCAATCAAGAACTTGTGCTTTTTCGCATCTCTTTGACCCAACTCATGGGCGCTCAACACAAAATGGTGAACATAGGAAAAAAGGACTTACGTTCCTCTTGTTTAATTTTACTTGGTTCAATTAGTGCTTGACCATTTGTACCATTTCCATTTTGATCAGATGTGACAATCACAACCTGTCGGCCAAGAGATGACAACTTAGGAACATTTGTGGCATCAAATAATAATCGAAATTGTCTCATGTTGCAAGAGATCAAATCGATTGCTTGTGATGTAATAGTTTTATTGATTAGGAACGGTTTGCGTTCACTCGTTTGAAATTGATGCGGAAACTTCGAGTGGAACAAATATTCGATGGAATTAACAAAGTTTGTATCGACTAAACCATTATTAGGAAAGCCGTTATTAACTTCCAAGTATTCTTGATGAATGGTAAAAGCAATTTCTATCGTGTTAATCAATGCTGCTAACCGATAAGCGTGTTGTACGGTTTTCCCAAGTCGAGCGGCCAGACCTGCATCGTTATTTCGCACATCAAAACCTAAGCATACGCGTACCTTTTATGAAGGAACTACATAATGTTAAAATACTTTTTTGTTTGCAATCATTGCCCCACAATACAATCTCTTCCAAAGCATCTTCTTCGAACTTGAAAATTACGTTTTCGACGAAAGACAGAATGATGGCGAACTGATTCAACGAGCTCATCTTTGTATAGTCAACGCGTTGTTGAGTAATTTTATCGGGAATTACCGGACCATCGAGTGGCCAGAAAAGGAACCGACCAATCATAGGATCACAGCCAAGTCCAGCTTTCATTCTCATAACCATGTTGGAAACGAGTTCTCCAGTAGAACAGCCCTACAATGAAGAGAATCAATGTTCTTGTTATCGCCATCGATGTAAACGTACTAGAATATTAAATTTGGAACGATTTACTGAAATTGTTTTGCCTTGTAACTGTCGTACATATGCTTCGGTAGTTTGGTCGAAAAATGTTAAAACAAGGGCTAAAGAAAATACGATGAAAGTAAATAAGGCAATTCGAAATCATGACATATGACTAACTTCGGCAGTTCATATCCGGTTGAGCTCGGCCAGTGTTTATTAAATAAAATAAACCGATATCTGCAAACGTCAGATCGGCTTCGTCGCAAACAATTGTTCGACAGCAGTCATCAAGAGCAGCTAATAAGCCCGCTTTGGACGTTTCATCCAAGGTGGCATTGACGTTTTGACCTGTTACAATCTGATCAGCTTTTCGAAACTTATTCAGTCGATGTGTAACGACCACCTTCAACATATTTCGTAGAATTTTTGTTAATTCAGATTTTCCATAAGCTAAAAAAAATATCGTTCACACGTCGATGACAACTGCTGGTAAAACTTACACGAACGTGCCACGATTAGATTGAATAAATTTGTGGAAATCATGTTGTCGCTACGATTCGCACAAAGAACATACGAAAACTCCAGCGTTGCTGCGACACAATTAATCAGAATAATAGCAAGAGAATCTGGATGAAGTCCGTGGACGTCAGCCAAGCCCTTGACATATTGCTCGAGTGGAGAGGAGAAAATAATCCCTGGCCAGAATTTTAACTGGCTTGCGTTGTCGATATTACGATTTATATAAGCCATTAGAACGTGATTTGATGCAATATGCAAGGTAAGTAATATTCTAGACGACTAAACGACAGTCGCTTGTTTAACCGATAGACTACACTCTAAAAAAAATCCGGCGTTTAATCAATCCTCAAAAAGGATTTATAACTGAAAAATTTGTTCATCAACCTGGTCTACCCCTAGATCAACCCTTTTTTCTTCAAAAACCCACGAAAGGTTTGTTATACGTTGCAAACTAATAAACCCAAGGGTTTATTCTCTATTGATAAACCCTTTTTCCATAGATCAGCTTCATCAACCCTAAAATGAGAGGTTTCTTATAAGTGATGACAAACTCTTGACTGAGGGTTGATGAAGCTGATCTATGGGAAAAGGGTTTATCAATAGAGAATAAACCCTTGGGTTTATTAGTTTGCAACGTATAACAAACCCTTCGTGGGTTTTTGAAGAAA